ATACTAAGTAGTTCCAGCGTTGACCGCTCGATAGCGCCGCTTACCCGCGCTAGAAAAAATCAGTCCGGGAACTTTCCGGACAAACTGTGTATGTACGTATACGTAGATGCACGGCTTTCAATGGTTCCCATCAAACGTGTGCGATAAAATCGATTCTCACCTAGGCTTTGACTTCGAAAAGGCGCGACAACCGATCCGCCGATATCCCGAAAACTCCGCCGCGAGGACGACCCCACAAGGGTGGATCAGAAGTTCGAAAAGTGTGTAGCAAGGCGATATTATATAAACGGATGAGTTGGCTCGCGGTGAGAAGCGCGGGGAAGAATCTCAAGATCAGCGCGCGCAGAAGCAGGGAATATGTAGCACCACGGTGCTCGATATTCTTTAGACTCCCCTTCCAGCGAGCGATCTCCATTCAACCTATTCTTACAATGTGTATGCTGGATTTAGCTCGTAGAGATAGATATTCCTAACATTCGTTGAAACGGCCGGCTTTACGGCAGCTTTCGCGCTGAAAGCTCGCTCTCGCATACCCGAGCATGTCTTCTCCCTACCCGAACCGCCCGTCCAAAGCTCTTCTCCCATCTTCTCCCGGCGCGTCTTCCTCGCTCAAACGTTCACGCGCAGGTATGCGCTCTGTCTGCTTCGCTCCACGTGACCGCGCTTATCGCTTTCTCCCTCATCTCTTTAGCGTGCCAGCAAAACCAAACTGTTCTTCGACCGGCACTCGTCTGCGCTTCTTCTCGCTTCCTTCTCTTGCTGTTTCTTCCTCTTCCATCTGTTTTTTTTTTTGCTTTTTTTTGAGGTTTTTTTTTCATTTCTCTTGGTCGTCACCGACTTCGCTTCCTTTGCTTTTTCGTCTCGCGCGATCTTTTGTTTTTTTTTTGTCTCGTATTGTTTTTCTTGCGCAGTTTTTTTTTTATCACTTCCGTTACCAATCGCCAAATACGAAGTCAGACGCAATAAAAATCACAGATTGACGCGAAAGAATGCAAATAACGTGAACGTTGGCGTCGCCGCCGCTATCTAGAAATAAAATACAGCTTGACGTGAGTGTTTTGTCCAGAAAGCTCGTACGAGAAATCGGTTTATATATCGGTGTTATCAGCGCGATGCGCTCCATAATGACAATGAGCGATATAAAATTTCTGTACATGCAAAACGTTTCTCGGATGTATCTCGCGCGAAATTAATATTTTATATTGACGTACGGGAATCAGTTTTAACGTGACCATTCCTTTATAAAAGCCAGTCAACGCTGATTCAAGATACGAGTATATATTATTATATATTGTGTATTACATATATTGTGTTATATCGCGCGGTTGCCATTCTTTAATTATTGAACATCGAAGCATTGAAATCATATGACAATAAATCACGCGGGCAGCCCACGCGGGTATAACGTTATTTATTGCGTGTGTGCGGTGCTCGATCGTACGGCATATAATTTCGCGGTTTATGTATCCTCTATACATGTATATAATATATGTATATATATATATACTATACATATTTATATATATATATATACATATGTGAATCCGTGCGGAATAAATAAAGAATCTCGGCGTATGAATCCTGCCCTCGCGACTTTTCTCTCCTACACTAAATCAAATCACGTTTCCCGTTTTTCCCACGGCGAGCACATCGAGGGTAAAGACATCTACCGACATAAACTCCGTGCGCAGAAAGGAGAGTATCGTGTCTTAATCTCGTTGACCTTAATGATAAGACCTTTTATGTAAGCCGATACTACGGCAATATCTGCTTCCGATATAATGTTTAATTAATCGCTAATCCCCGAAGAACGCACCCGTATCTACTTATATATATTTTAATCAATTTTTTTTGTACTACCTAAAAAAAATAAAACAATTTACTGGAATCTGGAAAATTTTTCATATTTTTTTGTTTTTATTGTGCAAAAATTAGATTAAACTTTGGTGGGAAAAAAGATTCTTTTCTGTGTTTGTTCGTTTTTAAGATCTGAAAGTTGGATTCCCCTTTGTATCTAATCCGTGTGGCTCTCGTGATTCAGCTACTCGTTCACATGCTTCTTCTTCTGCCTCTTCTCGTGGCAGACACGCACGTGCAAATACATATGATGTGCGCGTGTATATATATGTGTATATACATATATATATATATATATATGTATACATCGTACGGTGGTCGGCACGGTTGCTTCGAGACGAGTCTTGTGCGATGCTTCGTACGTTTCTAGGTAGGTAGAGAGACCAGTGAGTATTGGAGAGGCATCGCAATGCTTGGAATGTTTAATACCGGCGCAACGACACGGCACGGAGAAATGGTCGGCTTCAACCATGGAATAAATCTCGTGGAATCATACCCGCTCGCTGCCATTTCTTGTCTGCCACGTGCTCTCCAAGAAATTTTTCAGAGGCGAAAACGCTTATTGCATTTCTATACTCGTAACGTTTCTCCGTGTTACTTCGCACGGTGGCCAAGCGAGACTTTAAAAAGCGCAAAAGCTACACAGCGCGGGAGAACATTAAGTTTATTTGCCAGAAAAATTTATCATTCATCTTGTCTCCTCGTTGTCTGACGTAAATATTGCAGGTATTATATAAAATCGAGGAGCTCTTTATTCCGACGTATCTATCTCGCGAGAAAGTGTGACACAAATTTCCGCAGCTTTGTTTCAGCGATAAATTTTTTCTTTTCACATGGTAATGGCGGACAAGACGTTCCGCGCGCGCACGCGTTAATATTTAACATGTCGCGCTTGACAAATTGGCATTATGTGTGTGTGTGTGTGTGTGTACTATCTCTTCAGAATAGAGTGTTCTACACATTCACGTATGTGTGACTTGATCATATTTTTGCTCGTTAATTCCACAGTCTTGCGTGAAGAAGAGAAAAAAATCGGATTTTTTTCTTTCTCGTGACAGATAAAACATCCCAGTAATTACGTGCTCTCACTCTTGTACCTGACCAAATACGGAAAGCAACCTTCGTTTTCCTTCTTCAGATCGCGCTGCGATTTCACCATTTTATCAGTCGTCGACCTGACGGTCGCTGTCGTTCGGAGTACGCGATGTTTGTCGGGAACGTTTAATTGCAACTGGCGAAGAGTGGACTTCGACGGACAACGGCGATAGAACGTTCATTAGAATTTCATTAGGATCGTAAGTTCGAACGCGAGCCGGAGTGATTCACTTTGAAAGGGATTGCTACCCTGCCAGGAAGCTGGCAGGAAGCGTGCTTGCGGAGCGCATGGCCCACTGGTCATCGGCGCCGAAAAGCGATTTGTCGGCTCGAACAGAATCGGCAACGCGATCGAAGTGCGATAGCACGTGGCAAGCGATATTGCGCGAACACGGAGAAACGGAAATGGAAGTTTATAAAAATTCTATAGAAGAGTTTGATAAAAGATGAATAATAAAAGTAACAATAATAAAATCAACTCGCAATAATAAAATAACAATAATAAAATCAAGTAACAATTATGTAAAGTTAACACAGTTATATTTAAACAAATAATAACAATTATATTATAAAATCCAGTTATCTGATCAATTATAAAATCCATTTAGAAATTAATTTCAGTTTAATTAATAACCTCGGAAAAAATGTTATTTTAAATAATGAAAAAAAAATTCGGATTGAATTTTTTTTAGAGTTATTAAAAAAATCTTCTCAATACCGAGAATACACCCGCGGTCGATATTCCGAATAATTGCGAGCATTACATGATATTCTCGTTATCTGCGCTATAATGCTGCTCGTATATTTCGACCGTAGAGACGGTCCACCTCTTATGAACTTGGGCACTGCGGCAACTTTATCCTTAACCTTAACGTAAGGATCGCTCGTGTATTTTGGAAACTTGCTGAAGCAACCATCGTGATTTCCGCCAGGTTTCTTGGGAAAAGGAACGTAGAATCGCGCCGGACCAACTGTCTTTCTAGCAATTTCAGTCGGACGAAGGTAAGTGGGCCCTGGATCCTCATCTTTGTAAGGATTGGGGGGAAAATAATCCAACAAGACGCTGGTCGTCAAAAATCGACCTTTAGACACCGGTTCTGTTTTATTGAAACAATAATTTGAATTTAAAGTTTAATAAACGGACGAAAAATCGTACCTATTATAAAGGAATAAATTTGAAATAGGTTTGCGAAATCACACACTATAACGTAAAAATGAATGAAGTGTTCTAAAAAATTCCACTTTGCGTTCATTTTTTTTTTTTTTTTTTTTTTTTAGTATTATACTTTTTTTTATACAATAACGGCACTCTCGCGCCGCGTCACAAACACGTATATGAGATAATTAAGAGAAAATGACAAAACCAAAAATTAAAAATAATAAAATACTTAATTTTAATTATTACTTTTATTAGCCAATGTGCAACGCAAAAACTTTTATAACTTTATTTTTAGATATATTTGATTACATGGATACGGTGTAATTTATTTATGAAAATTTGATACTATGTAAAATGCGCGTGTGTTATATTAAAGTAAAAGAATAATATAAAAAAAAACTTTTTCTTTAAACAAAAACCCGAATATACGATAAGATTAAGTTTCTCGTGCAGTACAAAACTTGCAGGGGATTTCATGTATGACGAAAAAGTTATGAATTTCAAAAGTACTTTACAATACGCGTAATAAAATAGGGAAAGAAAGAAACCTATCGACAAAACAGCGAAGTTCAAACGGCACGTGTAACTCTTCCCGGTCTCTAATTCAATTCAACATCGAAATAAAGTTGCCATTTCAACATAAATCACCATTGCGTGACATAAATCTCTATCGCCGCTTACTACGAGAAACTGAATACCAGAAATGACAGCAATGTATACGACGTTATATACACATTCATATTAAAAAGTTATATCGAAACTTATGTACATACATAGATAAAAATAGAGAACAGAATGAGAGAGAGAGAGAGAGAGAGAGAGAGAAAGAGAGAAGAAGATAGGTACATAAATCAGATCAGAAGAGGCGTAAGGCAAACACATTTACTTCTGCCAACCACTCTTCCAACATGATCGTAAGGCTCGTGGGAGTACGGCGGATAAGGATTCAAGCAAATATCCGCGTATCCGGGTCCACCAAGCGGATTGGGCTTGATCTTCATATTAGGCAAAACCGGCGTCTTTTTTCTCTTTTCTTCCATCCACATTGGACTGAAGTAAGAAGATTTAGCGAAGCATCCATACCAATCTCCGGGCGTCGAATGCTTCTTCGACGGAGATGTCGGCAGCATGCGACCGCCAATCTTTCTTTTCTCGTCTTGTAACTGAAAAAACGACATCGCATACACACACACATATCCAATGTAACAAACAAAAATACAAAGGCAGTAAAACTACAATTGCAACAATAGATAGGTAAAAAGTCATGTGTATCAACAAAATGTAAAAAAATACATTTTTCTCTTCTCTCTTTTTGGTTTTGTTTTATTTTTGTAACATTGCTCGGTGAAACAGAAGTGCAACAACAAGGTTAAACTAACAAACTTCGTGATCAAGATAATCTTTGTGCTTTGTATACATATGCATATACATATAACGAGCACTATACGTACATATATACAATATAACCATTATTATATCTAATCAATGTATATATGTATATGTATTCATATATATATATATATATATGTAAAATCAGCACTTTTTGTATAGTTGCGTATCACATTATTAAATTATTATTAGACTTTAATACAAGAAAAATGTCTTCCTTTTTTTTAATTTAAGAAAATTGCTTTTGCAAGGTTTTAATTAACGTATCAATCTTAATTAATGCACAGCAAACTTGGCGCATCAACTTTTTTTGTCCTTTAAAAAGTTCATTTTCAATTAATAGTCACTTCCCGATGTAGGATAACTCTGTTGTATAATGCAAACACAGATACCCGTTTCTTCGCTTCCTCGCGCCATGGTTCGGTGAGAGCCTCGCCCTCGAAAATTCTTTCGTGTTTTTTCACGAACAACTCACTGGGAGGTCCGGCGAGAATCTGACGTTTTCCTTTAGCGACGTTCTCGCGAAACTTAAAATCAGGATCTTGATAGATATCGAAAGGACTCGGTGAAGGATCGGTGAAAAAACCTAAAAAAAAAAAAGAAAACAAGACGATTTTTGCTTTCGAAAGCTTCTCGATTTACACGCTTGGGGCAATTTTATTTAAACAGACCACATTACCCACTCGTTCGATATCAATCCTTCCATAGTTACGACCAACGAGCGCACGGTCCATACTTTTACTCTTAAATTATTAATTTCGCCATTGTGTCAATTTTTTATTTAAATATATAACCTAAATTCTTTTTTCATAAGGTGGGAATGTATTTTTTCCGCGCGACACGAGCGCGATCTTCGTTTATCGAAAGGGAAATTTATTAACGCGGCGAATAATTTCGACTTCGTTGTTATCTCACACACTGCGCGTTTTTATCAGAAATATATTTCAATAAAGATATACAGCAACAACGCACACAAATGATAACGTATACATTATTATACGTAATAATGAGAGAGTCATCTCATGATTATGTTGTAATATCTTGAAGAGGGTCTGAAAATATGGATTTACGAGTAATTGACTGTTCTCCCGTCAATAACGAGTTATTCTTAATGGGTTCGCGGGTGGTGCCGAGAAGTGTCTACGATATTCTCGGTTGCGGCAGCAATGGAAACATTTCATTACCGTCTGTGTTTGGAGAGACTGCACACTGAAGGAGGTTGCGCACTCACGTCAACTATTTGGTCTTGTTAGGATAGAGAAGTCACCAGAAGACTATCTCCGAACATAGACAGAGGTAGTACAATAACGTAAGCCGCATTTATTTTAATAATCGCAGTCAACACGTTCACACAACCCGATTGAGTTTTATGAAATTCGAACGCTCGCATATGATGATTGATTCGGAATTGATGCGAATTTCTCTTCGCTTTTCTCTTTCGAGTTATCAATTATCGAAACAAGTTTCACTCTCTGCGAAATTATTTCCCATTCCGAACGATTCTACTTGGCGACAATATCACTTGGCTCGAAAGTTCTCGCTCCGCCAAAAAACCTAAAGTTCATCTTCGCTCCCATAGTCATGCGTATGCGTCAACCCGGTAATTTCCACAGTCTCCCTATCTAGCACGATGCTTCCGCGCAATCCACCGTATATATAGTTCCACCGAAAGCGGGGGCGACAACGGTCGCGATAATAACTAAACTTTCGATTGCCAAGGCGAGCCATTAAGATAAGACTTGAAGCAGCTAAGAGGACGCCCGCTTCCGAACGAGAATAGTTGCGGAATCTGTAAGGAGCCAAACGAAGCGACCGATGGAAAGACGCGGTAACGAAAAAGCGGAGGCGAAATCGTTGGAAAAGAAATCGGCAAGTCGGAAGAACGGGGAATGGAAGAATGGAAAAGGAAAATGGGAGAGGTTGAAATGGAGAGGCGGAAGGGAAAAAGGAAAGAGAGAGAGAGAGAGAGAGGCGGCCGGGATGAACGAGATGGAGGCGAAAGTGGTGGTAGAAAGGTCGATGGAGATGTCAGCGGTGGAAATAGAAAAATGTTGATATACATCGGCCGCACACCGATAAGGCAGCAGATCGATTAAGATTAAACGTCTTGGCCGCCGACTTTAAGACAAGTTACGTTGGAAACTCGGCGGGATTGCCTTCCGTGAAATTGAAATCAAGAACGTGACCATTTAATTTGCAAATGGAAGGAGAACGATTGGCTCGGCTCACACACAACCCGACTTGTCTCTCGATCGGGTCTTTCTACTACGTCTCTCCGGCACTACCAAACCATAATGGCGCTGTGTTCTTTGGTCTTTAGGAGATATTCCCTGGTGTAATGTTCGAACGCGCATTACGGTTTATTAGGACACGCGCATGCTGCGCAAACACATTAACGCTAATGAGATCCGAAATTGCGGAAATAACAAAATATCAATTGTGACGATTTAAATTAATTTAAATTGTCAAGAGAATGAGTTGAAAGGCCGATCCGAGCAGTAAAATACAAGTTGGTCGTGTATCACAAATAGTCTTTATTAAATTCAACAGACGTTTCGGTCAATAGTTTAGACCTTCATCAGTGTATATAAATGTGATTTGAAAGAGATAACACGCGAGCAAACAGCATCCAAAACAGTCAGCACAGTACACAGTGTCCTGTGCTGACTGTTTTGGATGCTGTTTGCTCGCGTGTTATCTCTTTCAAATCACATTTATATACACTGATGAAGGTCTAAACTATTGACCGAAACGTCTGTTGAATTTAATAAAGACTATTTGTGATACACGACCAACTTGTATTTTACTGCTCGGATCGGCCTTTCAACTCATTCTCTTGACAATTTCACGAGCGAATCAACGATTAATTTAAATTATACCGATATGTGAATCTTGTATTTTGCTCTGTGCTGGTTGGTTCGACGAAACCTCGCGTTTTCGAATCTGTGTCACGCCTTACCTTGCAAAAAATACAAATAATAATTTAAGCATCTGTGGAAACTGGCGTGGAACACGCCGGTTTTCTCCAAACGGCGTAACACATTTTCGCTCTCTAATATCATCATTTCCAAAGTGCGCTGGAAATTGCAGACATTGTTGCTTATTGCTTTGCCATGAATGACTTTGACGGAAGTTGAAATTGGAAGGCTCGCCGACTATTTCAAAAGATCGGATCTTGATGTGATCTCATTAGCAGGAAAGGTTAGAAACGATAGAAATATCCGTTGCGAATATATTTTAGAAAATTAAAGAAACTTGAGAACCTTATCGTGTTATCATTTCATTAAAAAAAAAAAAAGCGATCGAAGAGAGAAAAAACGCCGTGTCGTTTCTCTTTAGAGAAACTCGTCAGTTGTGCTATTTTCTTCAGTTTTCCGAGGACTTTCTCAAAAACAAAAAAAAACAAGTCGTCAAAAGCAGCGACAATAGTGACATAAACCATAAACGTAATATATGGCGCGCGAGTGAGTTATGTTTCTATAAGCGTCACGTGTGTCCCGACACGAAAGCCGGACGGTTTAATAGAAACGGTCACAGAACTGCGGAATTATCGATGTCGCGGTAACATTGCGGGATCGTGTCCATTAATTTAACGTTAGCCTAAGGGGGTTTAAATAATTAATCCGACGAGACTCGTCCCGCGTTTCGATTAAACGCTACAATTAAGGTAGTTATTGAGCCTCAGTGGAGCTCATCCACTTGTACTTGTGGCGTACCAACAAGTAAGTGTAGAAAGTAAAGAAAAAATTGAGCACCACTGACACGTACACACAGAGTTCAGCATATATAAAAATAAAAAAAAAATAAAAATAAAAAAAAATAAAAATAAAAAAAATATA